GATAAAGTACAGTGACAAGGAAGTATCAAAGAAAGGGGTCAGATGCAGGGAGGACTACAGTCCACAGGTTAACCATCATAAGTTGGACGAGGACACGGCGTCAAGTGAATATATCATTCGGAAGTGGTGTTCAAACACTTGGTCTGACTGAAGCACCGGCATCCGATTTGGTTGGTGAGATAATTAAAGGCGACGATCGGAATTGTTCTTGTGCCTCCTCCCCCCACAGCCGTCAAGATATTCGCCCATGCCAGAAACAAGACGAGCCAAGAATTGATTGAAACTTGGTCTACGGATGAGAATCAAATCAATTGGCATGTCGACTTGGCGTCGGCGTACAGAGCCCTGCGCAGTCACGCCTAGGCGTGCGTCGCTGACAGTTGATGGGTTTATACCAGCTATAATTACCTCGTTTTGTTGTTGCTGTTGTTACCTATGACGATGAAATCCAGAACGAGTTTGGAAGTTTAGGAAAATAAACAAACTGTTCCGGTGGTCGATCAGCCTTCCCCTGGAACACGAAATGTTTCATTCATTCATCGGCCGAAATATTTTCTCTATGCTCGACCAGGACTTAGCGTATTTAGTGATTGTCATATCAAACAGACCCCCAAAAGGATGTGAACGTCATTATGTGAATTTTGTGCAGGGAAGGGATTGCAATGGCTGGAGGGGATAGATCAGATTTTAACTCCTCTTGAGAAAACGTGTCTAGGGAGAACATAGTAACATTTTAGGGGAGTCAAACAGTACCCTTGCTTTCGGTGAAACTGACCAAGATCGCAAAACCACAGTGTTTTAGATGCACTGGATTGCAGGATAAAGTTTGGTTTGTGCCGGCGTCCAAATTCTACCAGTTATTTTTGTGCTCAGCCACATAGAATTTGGATGGGTGTTCAATTATGGAGATCGAAGCGTCCGGGAGACGATGGTTAGAGGAATTAGTGAAATGCAACGAACAACTTCAGTAGGACTTGGCATCAGCAGGAACCCTATACAGTTTGCTAATTTGACCCCCGTAAACCGTCAGGACGCTGTGATGCTGATGAGGATCTCACGGGCATGGCAATGAATTTCGGCAGGTTCTTTACACTAGTGCACTAAGTGTACATAAAGTAATGAGGTTAAAGCCTTCCATGCAAAAATGGGCCACGCGAGGCGTTTGATAAACGGGCGTGGTGTCTGTCGACTGCACCAAACCAAACTCCTTCCTGAAGATATATAGGCAAAATAGTCTCTTTTCAGATACTCTAAATTACTAACATTTCTTGCGACAGCTTGGAGAAAGCTTAGCGTAACTTTCAAGAAAACACTGTCTTTTAAGGCAGCTCACACATACTGTGCACATACTTAAAAACGTAGTTAGACAGCTTAATACCAAAAATAGATGAGGTGAAAATATCTACCAATAAGGACACATTTGTGTAATTAACCGTTAAACAGGGTAGATATCTATTAGTTTTTGGCACATCTTAAGTCTAGTAGAATCATCGTTGAGCTATTTTAATCCTTTTAAAAGTTGACAGAATGTTAGGAATCTGCAGTTTTCCAGAAAGGAAAACCATGCCTTTTGAAGACTGTGAAAATATTACTGACACACAGACTCACCTCCAACAATTCCTAGAGCACCAATGAGTGTTTCGACATTGCGCGAAAAGGCGGCTCCAGCCAGGCCAACAGTAGCAATAATTCCACCGGCCATAGCGACAGGACGAAAATCGAATTGGTTACTCAAGGCACTGGCCAAAGGACCTGGATATACGAAAAAAAGATAGTGGAGGGAGCGTTAAGAAGGTCCATGAAAGGTGGGTTCGGTGATCAGAGAAGAAACGTAAGGCCTAGGATATAAAGGTCATGAGGAAAATCAGGGTACATGCACACACATACGAAAGCACACTGACCTAAGAAGAGGTAGAGACCAATCAGAAGACCGCCTGGCGTCAACAGGAGTGCGCGCGACTGGGTACCCAGAGCTTCGCCCATCTCGGAGATACCCACGCAACTGCCCGGACGCACAGGAATCTCGTTGACGCGC